TAAATTTTAAACCAAGGAGGCGACTGAGGTAAATAAAGAAAAATTATCAAAAAATAGTCAAAATATAGATAAGGGAGGTAACTAGCCTATTATTAAATCAATTTCGTAATTTTGACATTAATTTGATAATTTCAGAAAAAAATACATGTGTATTTTGAGATTAAACATTTCCCACCAGTGTCTACACCTGCTCTCTCAAGGATAATACAAAAAACACGCATGTGAATAGCAACTTTGAGTTCAAAGAAAGAAGTAGATACAATAGAGCCAAATAGTGAAATAGGATGACGCTGTGTGATTGATAAAACATTTTCACAAACGAATAGAAGTCGTAACTTTGAAATGAATGTTTGCACAAAGTTAGGTATGCTTAATGTATTTTAGAGATGAGTTTGAAATCGAGCGGTATTTGCATATATACTTGTAGATAAGTTTGACTTAGGTATAATGTTCACATAAATATGTGTATTTCAGTACGTTATATGTTATATTTCCTGAAACATGCAAGGTAAAGTAGTACGAAGTGGTATGAAAGTGTCTGCTGGAAGCTTCAAGATGCCAAACCCTAGTATAGTACCCCAGTTATCCTTCAATGTTAATTATACGGTTTTATCACTATAAGAAATTATAGGAATCACCTGTTGCCGAATATCATGTTAGCCTACAGACGTTAAATATATGCCAATACACTAAACACAGCAGCTTAAAAATATTGATTGAAATTTAATTGTACATCAGTGTGTTCGTTTCGACGAATCCTGTTTCAAATACGTGCCTTTCAGCTTTCCGATGGTTTTCCTTTTCAACAGTAGAACTGTAGTAAAGAAATTTGATAACCTACGATCACCCAGCCATCAGTTTCACCTTTACAGGGCGTGAGCGTCAAAGTCTGTTTATATGTACTACAAAGTTGTTATCGATATGGGAGGTTGTATTTTTCCTAACAACCATTGATTTTTTTTCTATGTTTTGGTATTTTTCTGGGCACTTATCATACCGACTCGAGCGCGTGCATTTTCTCCTTTGCTAATTTTTCGTAAGCGGCGAACGACCTTGTAAACCCACGTGTTGATGTGACCCCGCGACCCGATCTGCTGGAGTAACGTAATGATTATACAACAGATTCGCGCTAGATCACAAACATGTGTTCTGATCTGTAGACACAGGAGGAGCAACCTGTTTGTTACATTATAGAATGGGTCTCGGAACTATTTTTATTGTGTTTCGCTGTCAAGAAAAGCTGGTTACGTTTGCTTAGTTATTGTCGACAGTAAATGGTTACCTAGGCTACTGGATTTTTAACCTCCGCAGGAGATATTAAAACAATACCAAGCACTTAAAAACATGGATATAAAGAGGAAAAAACTCTGTATACATTATAACTAAGGAGGGTATATTTAAATGTATGAAATCGATCCGCGATGAGATTCTATGTTTCGGTGTTTTTATGGTGTATCGAATGCATAAAATGTTTGTCATAAATCAGGATGGCTGAGAAAATGAAGGTTAAATAGTTCTCCTCGCTGCTGTTTTACTGTCTGGGGCTGTTATACAGATAGTCAGAAACATTTAGAAAAAAACAATGATGTGAATTAAATTGTCAATATCGTGATCATAAATACAAAACGTTATCACGAACTACCAAAGATAATATTACCCTCTACGAAATTCAAAATTTGGTATAGTATCTTGTACGAGCGATGTGAACGGCAGCCGTTTTAATACCCAACAGCAATTATCAAATTCCATTTGGTTTTCCTCAGTCGCCGTCAAGTCCCATCGTGTAACTGACGCAAGGTAGAGAGATGGTTATTAATTAGTTCTACTGTATCTAATTCTCACTTTGTATTGCTATGTAATGTTGATATACATTTGACTGCCGATATATTTAGACATGAAAAAACACAAAAACTAAAAAAAAAAAAAAAACGGTGAATTCCGCATTGCTCATCGTTGCGAAGGGCTCATGGTTATTTATAAACTTACCGGCAACAAAAAAAAAATATTGTATTATAAATGTCGAGTTTTTCTTAGTTTGGCGTGGTTCTTGTTCCGGTCAAATTGTATTCATTAACTAATGATATTGTAACTTCCTCTGCCATCTTGAAAAGACCATTCCTTCACGGGTATGCGACATTCTCTCGATCAGTTCTCATTTATCTCGGTCATCTCATACGTTTTAAAATTCAGGCCCTTATCATTAATGTCAGCAGTATAATGGAGTTTAATTCATCATATCGGTTTATATTCCTAATTCATACTGAAAAGTGTTACTTGTGCGTCTTCTGTACAATCCTCAATATTGTTACACATGACAAAATCTGTATGGCTGTTATTACTCTGACGGTCCCAATCAGCTTGCCTTTTTTCGGTGTTTCACCGTTCGTGATGTTCACGAAAACACTACTTGAGAAAAACGAAGGATTGTGTCCATGTTTAATTAGCTTGAATTTCTCGACATGCTCACGTGGAACCTGGTAGATCGTATAGACATGACCACATAGTCAATTACGATTTGCGATCATAACACTTGGTGTAGCCTTCTCTTGTTTCAAACAATTAATATTTTTTGTCGCTATTTGAGCAATTGATTTCTTCCTAACAAGCATTTGTTATTTTCATAATCAATAAGTGAATAGATGGAGCTGAATATTGAACTCAGTGATGCAGTCTGTTAATCGCTCTTTCTGACTGTTGCATACATGATATTGGAGAATGACTCATTGAGCTCTAGGAATACTAGTACCTCTACCCAAGATTATATAACATCGTACTTTCCAGGATGTCGTGTCATGTTCTCGTTCAATTCTATAAAAATCAATTCCGTTCAGATGTTGATCTGGTTTTACCAGTATAGACCACAAATGCTTTGGGATCTTGTTGCAGAATTAATGAGTTCCCGCCAACACGATAGATGTCGTCTGCCTGACGCCGTCTGCCCAGGTGATAATGATGCTCAGTAATTAGAGAATTTTAAATGAACCTTTAACGAAAATTCCTTAATTGAAAATAAAATTGATATTATGTAGTTAAAAACACTATCAGAAATAATAAAAATGTAGAAAAATGAATCATTTTCATGTCGGAGGTACTCACAGGGACAACAAGTGAATTCCAACTATCACTTTAAAGCATGTTCGATGGGATACCTTATTGAAGTTATCGATCGAAAAGAACAGGAAGAGACTATGGTTTCAATGTAATGGCATCTTTCGGTATGTCTTGAGTATCAAAGGCACGCACAGGTACTTGTTCGTGTTTCAGTCACATTGTCTTGCGTTAGGTACAATGATAAACGTTTCTGACATCTGTACATCTTTGAATACAATCCGACGCTAAACGCCTGTTTGTGTGTCCGAGATCTGTCTTGCGTATTGTACAATACTGAACACCTGATTGTGTGTCTGAGATCTGTCTTAAGCTTAGTACAATGCTGAACGCCTGTTTGTGTTACCGAGATCTGTCTTGGGCTTGGTACAATGCTAAACACCTGTTTGTGTGTCTGAGATCTGTCTTGGGCTTGGTACAATGCTGAACACCTGTTTGTGTGTCTGAGATCTGTCTTGGACTTGGTACAATGCTGAACATCTATTTGTATGTCTGAGATCTGTCTTGGGCTTGGTACAATGCTGAGCACCTGTTTGTGTGTCTGAGATCTGTCTTGTGCTTGGTTCAATGCTGAACACCTGTTTGTGTGTCAGACGCCTGTCTTGCGCTTGAGTTTTTAAATCGGTTCGCATATGTTGGTATTTCTGTCTGTCGTGAGATCTGTAAATTATGGAAAAAACTTGTTTTTATTTCAACAAAAAATCCCAATCCTACGGCAATGCCATGTATAGTATAAGCATTTATGATGTATTTGTGTTCAAGTTATCTGCTCTGATTTTGAAAGAGTGATGTAGACAGTTTGTAGAAAACTAAGAACCTGCGGATTCCACGTGATAGACATGTGGTACCCCCAGCATGGCGAATTACGTCACTGTCAGACACCAGGTAGGAAGGGCCTCAGAGAGCATCGCGTGACCACTCAAGGACGTCATTAACTGGTGCACGTGTTTGCAACAGTAACGGTTACCAATATCCATGAGAAAATTGATTCGTCTCCTCAAAAAGCAGTATCGGACATTAACGTCTGGCTCCACCGGTAGGATGACGTAATCTTATCTACATCTTATCACGGTAGAAACGAAGCCAAACCAACAGATATTTATTAGTATTATGACGTATGAAGACATTTGTTCTCGTTCTTACAACAATTCAATTTGGCATCCGTGGATGTTTCATAATGTGATGGAACATTCAGATTGATTTCAGATAAAGAAATGTCGACTCCTATAACGCTTCAGTTACTAAGTTTTCTCCAAGAAGACGAGGCGTAATGGCCAGGAAATCTGTCGCGATACCGCTAATTTTGCTGTGATTTCATCTGATATAAAATCAAGTTTGTTCTGTGGATAGATGTTTACGCCATTTGAATATCTTTAAATCTACCAGGAAAAATCTATACAGATGGGAAAATTCTGGAATTTTTTAGCGGTTGGTTCTGTCGTTCTTATTTCGTAACGTGACAATACTTACCCGTACTGACCGAGATTTTCGTGGAAGATGAAGTAGTAGACGGTTACTCTTAAGGAACACCTGATCTTACTCTCCCAGTATGTTATTGTCTATATTTTGCCTTTTTTCTTTTCTTCATTTGTTTAGATTATGATTCTGTTTTCTTTGTTGTTTTAAACAGATGGTCATCTGCAAAGTCCTCCACACTAAGAGTGGGTTAGTAGAAAGTTTGATTAATTTTGGGACAGAATTGACGTAAAGGATTCATGTACGGCGAAAAATACCAATTCAAATAATACTTCTGTTGCTGAAACTGAAGGCGGTAACCTTGGTTTGGCTTCTTGTTTAGCTCCCCTTTCCACCAGTAAGGAATTCAGAACATTCTCCTACGGAGCAAGTCCAGACATTTCCGGTAAATATTCATAAAAAACAAAAAACAGAGAGATGTTTGAACTGTTTATTAATTTACAAATGAAAATGAGTCTGGTTATAGATGAAACGTTGTCTCAATGAGAGTTATATGATAATTATCGGACAGACCTTACTGGTCAAATCACTACAGAAAGGTCAAAGGTTAAATAATCTCACAATAAATATAACAGAGTATTTACCAATTGTCATTACGTTTACATTAATTGATCATAAATATCTCATATTAATCCTGATTTGAGTTTATACTCCCTTCCTATATTTTAAGTATTATTTTGTCTAACCTGTCCAACATTTATTGTACATGTCTAGAAGTTTGACGGGCCTGGATAATCAGCAGTGTTGTAGACAAGACGGGACGTACAAAAACATAATTTACAGATGCGGAGCATTCCGAGTGATTCATAATCAACAAGGCAAACCCGACAGGAGTATATGTCGTAAAAATTGTGCGCGCGTGAAACGCATGTGCATTTTTGCTTTCATTTGTTTTCAGGCCATTTCAAGGACGGCAGGTCTGATGGATTGATTTAAACTTATTTTATTATGAGAAACAGATACAGGTTTTAGCAGGTCTATTCTCATATTACTTCCAGAGCAATAACTTGGGTAGATATCATACGATTTTTAAAATCCAAGGGTTTCGTTATCGATACCTTGATTTTAGCTTCACTATTGAAACATGTCCCAAAAATATCGAACGCTCGTGGCTAGTCATTTCATTGATTCCAATCGTACTGTTGAATATTTTATCGTTCATTGATATAGTAACCACATGAATCCCGATGGTCAATGCTTTCTTTGACAATACCAAGGAGACTAACCCTAATCAACAATACCAAGGAGACTAACCCTAATCAACAATACCAGGGAGACTTACCCTAATCAACAATACCAAGGAGACTAACCCTAATCGACAGTACCAAGGAGACTAACCCTAATCGACAGTACCAAGGAGACTAACCCTAATCGACAATACCAAGGAGACTAACCCTAATCGACAATACCAAGGAGACTAACCCTAATCATCAATACCAATGAGACTAACCCTAATCAACAATACCAAGGAGACTAACCCTAATCAACAATACCAGGGAGACTTACCCTAATCAACAATACCAAGGAGACTAACCCTAATCAACAATACCAATGAGACTAACCCTAATCAACAATACCACGGAGACTTACCCTAATCAACAATACCAGGGAGACTTACCCTAATCAACAATACCAAGGAGACTAACCCTAATCAACAATACCAATGAGACTAACCCTAATCAACAATACCACGGAGACTAACCCTAATCAAAGCCAGTAAATTCTGGATTTATTCTGCAACCAAATCATTTTTATTTGTCAAAATACCCTTAGTGAGCGAGATTCCTAACATTTGCCAGTGTAGATGACTTGTATTATCTACAACGTAATTCTATGGGTACAAGAAAGATGGGTATGATTTAAAAGTGAAACCCTTGGATTTTGAAAATAGCCTCACGTCTCCTGCCTGAATATGTTGCAAGATATTTCGGACGTGCTCTGATGTTTGTGACAATATTTTAATATTGAATATGATATTCATAGCTAATTACTGATTACAATGTTATAACAGCTAGGGGAGGTTACTGTTTCCCACATGGTTCTGAGCTTTGTGTCTCATACCGTATAAAGCTGCCATGTGTATTTATACGTAATTTAACACTAAATAACAGAGACAGCGATCACGTTGTTAGATATAACGTATTGTCGGTTACCTACATAGTACTAGTAACGTTAGTAACCACAGGGGCATGTAATAATGATTCTGGAGGGTGGGGGTTTGTGTCGTAGACTATAACTAGTTGAATACTCAATTATGAGTATGTTTGTACTAGTGATCTCTATAGTATTTGACCGAATACCAGCGATTTTTCGGAGGCTGGTGAACTTCTCTCTGCTATTTCGTTGGTCCCTTTACTAGTTACAGTATGCCATCTAAACCCTTATCCCCCATAAACTCTTTACAAGCCCATGTGCTAGTAACAAACCCAGTGTAAGTAAATCACAATACCTGTAACATTCACGAACACACATATACACGATCTGTATGCAGTGACACTTCAGCACTGGTATTATTGTTGCATTAGCGACATAGAACATTGTAGTACTATACATAGCTGCAGTACTAATAATAGTTTCCGAAAACACGTGCATGCACGTTCATAATAAATAAGGTAGGACCATTGAGAAGCCAAGCAGTAATAGTATTCCGTGTAAAATATCAAACACATACATATAAATATGTAGTTTCTATAGAATAAATATACGAGCAGATATACAAATGCTAGATTTTCCTTCAGATAAATATATATATAATTGCACACAAGTTATACAACTGGCCCATGTATATGAAACCGTTGGTGTTCAATATGGCAAAAAGCATTAAATTACGTACATCTCACAGAAAAGGATGTCTTTCTGAAATTATGTGTTTGGTTCTACTGTAGGTATTTATTTCAAATTAAACGATGTCCACCTTCCAGCATGGGTCAGTAGTATCCAATATTCCAATGTCATCTATGACGTCATAATAGTGATTACTTCATCATGTAGTTTATACAAATTATAGATAATATACCGTCTGATTTGATTCCTGGCTACAAAACAGTAATAAACACTGACACGTTTACAATTTAATGAGCTAAAATATAGATGTTTGACAGGAAGTACCCGAAAATAAATCAATATAATTTTTCTTCCTTTATTTTTACTTACATTATATATACGAGAACAGACGCTTTGACTGCGCGAGTACACGATGAATATGTAATGAGTGACACACTGCAGTGCGGTACATACACTTCTATTACCTATAAGTGTTAGTTTTAGAATACACTATCTCTTAGTACCGACCTCAAGCACTGGAATTTAATCGTAAGTGTTTTTTTTATTCCATCTCGATTTGATGTACCATCCTATATACAACAGTCAGTGTCTGGTTATTTCAATTCAAACAAATAATTATTTATTTCACCCTTTATCAAATACTGTTTTGTTATTATCATTGTTAAGTGATTATTGATTGATTTGGGAACATTCACGAGCCTTACACCTCTCGGTCGCGGGTTCGAGGCCTACGTTGGGCCGCAGGTTAGTGTTTTTTTATTTATTTTTTATTTTCTTTATTTTTTTCTGTGGGTATCCCAAATTTCAATCAAACCCCCAATTGCATGTTCTTAAATGACCCTGACAGTTAATTGAACGTAACACAACAATTAAGCGAACCTTAGCCATATAGACATCCGTTCTGATTAATGATTGGTCAGTAGTCTGGGTAATTAGTCATTGGTCCTTGTCCCGGTTACTTAACAGTGATTGGTCCATTTCCTGATTTGCATATTAGGCAATGTTTCAACGGCCTTCGTAGTTATCGATGTATTGGATATAATTCTGAGTAATTTACTGTACAGTATTGGTCAATGTTCTAGACGGTCAATGTTCTAGATGGTCAATGATTGATGAACATTGTGTCGAAGTTACTGGACAGTTGTCTAGCTAGTCAGTAATGATATGTGTCGTCAGTGATTGGTCAATGCTCGGGATATTTTGTAATTGATCAAGTGTTCAAGGTCAGTAATTTGTCGACTTTATAACCGCAGTTTCACGAGATTTTTCTAGTAAGAAGTTCAAACAAAAAATATTACAGATCACGTGTTATTGAAATGGATGAAATTGACGAATTTTAGGAAGTTTGTAATTTGTTCTTTAACGGGTGTTTAAGAAGTTGTTTCCGTATTAAGATTACATTGTGATATTAAGACATTACACATCTACAATCTGACCCGACTTAAGAGATTTCATTTATTACTATGCAGGGCAATGAAAACGTACATGAAGCCCCGAGTTATTATGATAAGTACAGATACACTTGGCAAGATCGATCTATTTCATTTTGCCTACAAAGGGAGAACACATGTTAAGTAACAGAGCATTAAGAAAAAGCCCCTTTACTTCATCAGTTCTTCAATAGCACATAAACGATACCGAAACTTGCTTTGAAGATCTGAGATCCCGATGCTATCCTCATAACACAACGTGGTTTTGTTTCCAACAGGAAATCAGTAAACCAGAAATTCTTTTCTATAACCTTTAAACCACACACAAAACGAAACAGTGTGGAATGGTTATTATTGTACTGTAGCTGCTAAGGATGATCCCCTGTTCTGGCTAATATTCTCACTGAATATTTACAAGCCCCATTAACTCGAAAACGCCCATAATTTGAGCGAGATAGAGTTACCAAATAAACAATCAAGTAAACTAGACTTAATGAAATTATGATGGGTTACGATCGGCTGATGTTCCAAGGCATTCCAAATCGTTATATATCCATCACGCTTCATCGAATGCATTTCCCCAAAGCAAAAGCTTAAGTTTAGGATTTGATGACGTCACAATGCGAACACGGTAGCGTAGATCGTCCGAGGTCGCAGAAGGGTTGGTATGTTCACGACCCAGCCTATTGTAACACAACTTCAGCAAGGTCAGTGTCGGATTACATTCCAAAATATCAAGAATTTTTGAGAATCCGTCATTTGTAATTCCACACATATTTAGACCGAGAGTTTTGATTGATTTATTTCGTTCTAAGGCATTTGATATTTTTAAAACACCAGCGTCAGCAATGAAATTAACACTTAGATCCAAGTGATGTAATGTTTTGTTCATTAAAATAACGTCTGAAAGCATCGCACATCCACCGGAAGTGATGCCACAGTTTTCCAAATTGAGGTCAACTAGTGTGGACTTGTCGTTGAGATGACGGCACATCATTTCCATGCCGTCGTCACCAATGAAGTTCCTGCTCAAATCTAATTCCGTTAGTGTCTTGCTTTGTTGAACACCTTCAAATAATATTCCACAACCAATCCAGGAAATGTTTGCACTGCGCAGGCGTAACTTTTTTAATGATCTGTTTTGTTTGAGCATATTTCCCAGACTGATACATCCACTGTCAGCAATATCCAGAAAGCTCATGTCCAAGTCCGTCACCCCGGGATTGTGTTTGAGGGCCTCGCCCAGATGTTTGCAGCCCTCGCTGTCCACCCCGGTCGATGACAGGTTCAGCTGTCGTATGCTGGTGTTCTTGTGTAAGGCGGTTGCCAGCATTTTAGCACCTTCGTTACCGATTGAATTGAGTCGTAAATCTAAGACAGATAGATTAGGAGAGGTTTTTAAAGGTTCCGATAGAAAACCTACGTCCTTTCCGGACAGCTGCGTTTTACCAATATGGAGCTCTAGTATACATGGGTGTTTGCCAAGCATTTCTGACAGCCGTTTTGACCTCTCACCATGGAGAGAGTATCCAGATATACACACGGTTATAACAAGTGTTCCTGTAATATGCATATCGTCATCCAGTTTAAGAGCGTCATTTGACGTTATTGAGTGATAAGATAGCCGCGAACAGCGTTTGTAGAAGGCCGAGTCCCGTGAGAAACGCTTGCTGTCACCTCTCGCCTTCTCTAGCTGAATGACCGGCGTCATGATCTCCGTGTCACAATTGTAGTATCCAACATCAAAATTGATTGTCTTCTCTTCCTCCACCGAAGTACTGTTGTCCTCCACGATTGGACACGGAATGTCAGATATGACACCGTATACGTCACTCATGGCGTCCATAATCAGGGCTATGTCACGATAAGCGTCACTAGCCCGAAGGATGTCACAGAATGAATCAAACTGTTTGGGCTTTCCGTCGGTCATCACATGAATCATACTCTCACAAACAAGTCGTCTGTCCGGATGTCCGCGGAACGCTTGCAAGTCCACAGACGATATCACCTGTCTCGAATGAAGCTCTTCCAGGAATTCTGAAGGGTCTAGTTTTTGACATATTAGTTCAGAAGCACTTTGTAAAATCACTCGGTGTCGCTCATTCTCAACTGAACCAGTCGACTTCTTCCTACGTGTCAGTGTTCTGCGAGGGGTGAGGTCTGGTGTCACTATTTTGATTTTACTGGATGTTAAAGTGGAGTTAAGGCTAGAGATTTCCGAGTCTAATTTACTAACTGTGGTTTTCTGTAACACAGGTTTACTGATTTCAATATTATTATTTTCGGACATTTTCTTTTTCTCTACAGTATTGCTGCTCACACCATTTTCTTTCCTCACTGGAGCGACATGCGCAGTTGGTATGTTGCCATCTTTGCCACGATTGCTTTGATAGGCTTGTGACATGACGTATGAGTTCCGGTCTGACGATCCACCTACAACAGTAGAGTTTCGGGGTGTGCTGATGGACGACGACCGGAAGATAAAGAGTCGAGGAGGTTTAGGAGGTGGTTTCAAACTATTACTCCTCCTGAATAAAGACTTGTCATTCTCCCCAGTGGGACCGTCTGTCGAGTCGTATTGGCTCCAGTCAAATTTCTGGTCCCGCTTCCGTCGTAAACTAAACTTCCTCCAAAATTTCCAAGGTTGAGAGTTTGAACTTTCGGAATCTGAAAACGAAAAAAAGATATAATAATAACAACTGAAAACTAGGAGATAGATGCGTATAATGTTTCAAACATAAAACTCAATACATACTATATACATTATTTTGTCATAAGATGGACAAGAGAAGAAGGGGCAAGGTCACAACGGAATATTTTCCGATAACAGAAAACAAAAAGACGCCATAATTAATCATCTTCATTAAGACACACACCACCATCACCATGGTATTTTAATTGCATCAATCTTGTTTGAAACAGGATGAGTGATGAAAACGCGAGTACCATTGTGGTACCAGTATAATGTTACGTCATATAAACAGAAAGTATTTGTGACTGTTCACAGCACACCCGGTAAAACTCATAAATAACGCGTGTCTACACAGTTAGTGGCAGGTCTGAAATACAGTAGCTAGTACAACATTCAACAGACCTACCAGACTACTGAGGCGATGTGCAAATCCCGGACTGGCCCTACTATTTTACCTAACAGTGTCGTCACATCTATACAGAAATCTCGCCTGGGACAAAATGGCTGCGGTTTACGTCCAGCTTTTCAAGGGAAACACAGTCTATGATATCTAGAACTAATTACACCTGGAGTAATTCTTACTTAAGTGCCCCAAAGGACGCATGAAAGGTTACGCCCATACAAAGATATCGTTTGTTGTGAAGGGTGTAGTTGATTTATACTTTTTTGCGGAAGACGTAAACACACACTAGTAAACATATAGGTATGTCTATTGTAACAAAACTGAGATGCGAGATTCAGTTGTCCAATAACCCTTGATCTGTCACTTCCTTAAAACTCTTAAGTACTGCACTTAGCTTTTAATCCATAAAACACATCTCACACCTTAATAGAAAAAGACCGTATATTCCGGGAACAGATATTACACAACCTTAAAATGTTTTCGAGATACTGTTATCGATATCAGTGGTAATGCCATGTACCATCAAACCATCCCCTCTGTTATCTGAACGCCTTCTGTATTAGAAAGTGTTATCATCTCTGGATGTCAATCATAACACTATAGATTTACAGATTGAAATACATACTTAGATAAGTTAGCATCGCAATTCCGATCGAAATCGTAATCTATAAAACAGAAATTTTCAGTTAGCTTCCCTGCACACGCCCTAGGCTTCTCATTAAGTATAACTCATTCCGTGTGTTTTGCTTTTTGTTAAAAGTCAACGAAATCAAGATAAAGCAATGGACATGAATAGATTTTTCAGAAAAAAATAAATAGGCTTTGCTTGTCTTTCGATCCAATTAACAATAAAATTTTGTCAATAAAATTGATGCTGTAGGCTTCTCCTCGCGTCTCCATCACTCGTTCTATATTCTAAACACAACGAAATTCAAGACACAGCTATATATTTTAATAAATTCCCTGGTTCCTACATGTATAATTGGGGTTCATTCAACTCCTGAAATGTTCAATAAAATATTTGCCAATCAACACACAAGTTTCATTATACATACTAGATGGTATCCTAGGTACGTACCCCTTTGACAACGATTGGCATCGTCTAGCAAGGTGCTCTTAATTTTCGTTTGATGATAAACCCCCTGAGAACCTCCAGCTACTGAGCCAACTAACACGATACCTGAATACTTGATTTGATACAATATTGAATATAAAATAATAAATATGGTAAATTCACCCAGAGACGTATCCTGCTTATCAGTATCTGTACAAGGCTGAACAAGGTACTAGTGATGTCACAGTCTAGCCATCAGAAAATAACGGCTGGTATGACTGGAATGGTCGCGAAAATCAAGCATTGTTGCTAAATAGTTAGATACAGTTGAAGGCGATTTCAATGGCTGTGTTTACAAACTTCTTCACCAACAATGCTGTTGGACCCCACGGCAAGGCTCCACTTCGCCCCTATTCAAATTTATACGGCATGCCAATCAAAATCTTAATATACATGTTCAGCGGAACAAGATACCGGCCTGTTCGACATGCGTGATTCATGCCGTACTTTTATGTACAACGTGAGAATGGTTCATTACAATGTTTTGTCTTTATGATTAGCCCATCGATTATTATATTTTCTTCTCTATTCATCTCTACTCGACCGTACGCAAATTAGCAATCGGTCCTGGTCAGGCGATATAGCACCCAACATCAGCCCTTTACTGCCCCGTGTTGGAGGGATAGAATGTATACCACGTGCTCTTAGGGATCAATGCTGTATAACAATATGGCATTTGCTGCATTGTGTTCAGTATCATTACAATCCAAATGCATCGATATTGTAATATTGGAAAAAACATTATGCAAAAAACAGAGGAAATAATTGAAAATTGGTTAGGCTTTGAAACAGAGGACCATCATAGCGGATCCCACAATAAACACAGCCCTTTAAACGTTTTATATGTTATACATTCAGATATGACATAAGGTTGTGTGATCTTACATACAAAATTGTGTTATTTAAATCAAAGGCAGATGGTTGACCGACAAATCTGGTTAGGTCCGCCAAGTCATCTTAAGGCATGCTTTTCATGTGATACGAGGCATGTTTTGGCTGAGAAACATGAACGTGCATTTGATGATAACACAGTTAGTGCCATGTAAATTATTTATAACCGTCAATGTCGGTCACGTGCTTAACATGACGATTGTTCGTTGTAGTTTGGAATACAATACAGACATTATTCAAAACCAAGGTCAGAATGATATCAATTTGATAACTTTGTAACAAAATGCAGACATGTAATGGAATTATTACGTCTGTATAACTAAGTCTGTATTAAGAAACAGGATTAAAATGTAGGACTCGAACCCTTGTCCTGATCTTGATACTGCCCTCCTCTTGAGGACGATATACGACGATACAGGCCATTTAAAGCTACAGATGGAGACAAGGTCATAGTGATGTAAAGCTACACATGGGTACAAGGTTATATTGGTGTAAAGCTACAGATGGGTACAAGGTTATATTTATGTAAAGCTACAGATGGGTACAAGGTCATATTGATGTAAAGCTACAGATGGGTACAAGGTTATATTGGTGTAAAGCTACAGATGGTTACAAGGTCATAGTGATGTAAAGCTACAGATAGGTACAAGGTCATAGTGATGTGAAGCTATAAATGGGTACAAGGTCATAGTGATGTAAAGCTACAGATGGGGACAAGGCATAGTGATGTAAAGCTACAGATGGGGACAAGGTCATAGTGATGTAAAGCTACACATGGGGACAAGGTCAAAGCCAAGTAAAGCTACAGCTAGGTATAAGGCCATGGGCATTCAAAGCTACAGATAGGTATAAGGTCATGGGCATTCAAAGCTACAGATAGGTATAAGGTCATGGACATTCAAAGCTACAGATAGGTATAAGGTCAAGGACATTTAAAGCTACAGATGGGTGTAAGGCCATGGACAATCAGAGCTACAGATAGTTAAAAGGTCATTGACAAGCAAAGCTACAGATATGTATAAGGTCATGGACATTCAAAGCTACAGATAGTTATAAGGTCATGGACATTCAAAGCTACAGATAGGTATAAGGTCATGGACATTCAAAGCTACAGATATGTATAAGGTCATGGACATTCAAAGCTACAGATATGTATAAGGTCATGGACATTCAAAGCTACAGATAGGTATAAGGCCATGGACATTCAAAGCTACAGCTAGGTATAAGGTCATGGACATTCAAAGCTACAGATAGGTATAAGGTCATGAACATTCAAAGCTACAGATATGTATAAGGTCATGGACATTCAAAGCTACAGATAGGTATAAGGTCATGAACATTCAAAGCTACAGATATGTATAAGGCCAAGGACAAATTCAGAGCTACAGATATGTATAAGGCCAAGGACAAATTCAGAGCTACAGATAGGTATAAGGTCATGGACATTCAAAGCTACAGATAGGTATACGGCTACAGCCATAGAGCGCAATTAAGATCGCTCGATTCATTTGCATATTTAAGATGTTCATATCTACACCATGTCTAATCCATAAACATCGTAAACTGCACCAGTACCGAGTGTATTTGAGTTCCATTTCGAAGACTGAAGCATATCTTATGTAAGAACAAAAACGCAAATCTGAGCTATCGATTTCTTCATCAAATTTAAATTGTGTTAAAAAACATTTTCATTCGAAGACATATTTTCCTATATAATAAACAACATCCGCCATGATAAATTGATCTTATTCAGATGGCGATATTCTTGTGTCCTTACTGTTTACTGTACTACCTCGGACTGCTAAGGTACTGATATGTCACTTTAGGTCCATGTGTTGTTATCTTATGATACCCACTTACCCTATCATTGTTTTATTTATTCCCCCAGCCATTTTAAAGAGATGTGAGGGTTAAGGAGCCCTAAGATCACCCCTCTGTCAACATGTAACCTCTCACAAGAGGTATCTTACACCTATTTCGTTCTTTCTTTCAAACGATCTTTGAGTAAAAAAGAAATATTGAAAGGCTGCACTCACCTTCCTCAAATATTCTATAAACTACACAATACCAGGTACTGTTGAACTGGCGGAGCACAGCCATTTGAACTATTTCTTTGAACATGTTCATTCATCTTGATATCAAAACAGATGAAGTAAAAGTGTACCTGTTTCCCCTAAGAAGTGTCTGGTACTCTTGTACATGAAAGTGCATGCTATATAATTACAATCATAGAACATAAATGTTCACAATGGATAATGTTCATGTAAACACCAAATTGTGTTCTTTTTATGACGTAGTCACCATGATAGTAGATTTAACTTGTAAATATAGCAATACTATATACATACATCGTATATGTTGATAAGTGATGATATTCGAGGGTAAAAGTAATCACATTTAAGCGTGTCTCTGTTTGATTTAATTAACGGTACCCAGTCACTCCCACTATGCACTAGATGTTACCATGTATAACTGTAAGGTTTGTATTCCTGTCGACGATGCCTATGATCCGGTAATTAAAGCGATCCCACCACGCCCCCCTTGATGGATTCGAGAAAGAAAGAACAGATACGCCCATCTTCCCTCCTGCTCGAGAAATCAAAGAAACAGCGTTTTCTCTCTATTCTTTTGTTTTTGTTTGTGTCGGGAAAAACCGGAATGCGTAATTAAAATGTGTACATGGAAGTGGTTTTAGTTTTGTCTATTAAGTTAAATACATTAAAAGATGATATCGTTGTTCCACGATAAACCGGCCTTTGGGTTCGTTTGAATACTTTTTAAAAAATTAGGTTAATCAGTACTTGTAGCTCTCTTACTCTGCATGGCAACACGAATAACGACGTCATATAAAGTAAACAAGCTTACAGCACATACAGAATCTGATTTTCGACAATGCCATCCACAGAACTGCTTGATGTATACAGACAGGATATGTGTGACGTTGAACTCGGAAGACGGAACGACTAGCATTCTTGCAATATTTTATGACGTCAATGCTAACGTCATCGAAAACGAATTGAGCTTACAGAACAACACCATCACCGTCCGCCAATCCGGATGTCAACACGACACGAAAGATTGTAAAACCTAAATGATATTAATACCCAGGACAAATTCTGCTTGACGTCGATACGAGCGGCAATGATGACGTCATCGAAAGGTCATTGAGTGTTTTAGATTTACATGTAATGCAAATCTACATAAAAACATTTAAACAACAAAACAATTTGCATATTTATAACCAAACTTGTCCGACACGAAAATACTATTCATTTAGTTATTACCGTAGAGAGATTCCCGGCCGATAAGTAAAACGTAACTGTGGCTGTCACGGTTGGGTGACTCTCAGCAGCTGTACCAGAATACGTGATTGACAGAGACTGGTCTGTTGCGTGCTAGCTGGCCGTTTGTCAAGAACATCTCATCACGAAGTTATAGGAGAAATGGACCGGCAGGTCCAGATGTTTGTGTTTTATCTGGCGGAGTGGATTCCGCCATTTATCAGATACAATATTATCTTAATAGATCATCTTTATATCAGTTTAATATTAATTCCAGAACGAGCGTGGTGTTAGGACTGGGAACTGGTGATTACATTTAACCCGTTCTGTCCGATACGCCTGACGGCCTTGGATGCCTCTAACTAGCTGTTAAATACATTTCTTATCAGAATCTCTACATTTTATCATTAGCTACATGCTCATTCAGCAGAACTACAAATCGGTAGTCCCTTGGCACACGCCACAGAGTTTGCTACTCAATGCAGTATACATCAATGTTTTTCTACATGAGTAGTACAATCAAAATGACATAATTTTGGCGATGCTCACCGTCGACCGAGTCCTTTCTAGTTGTGAGTACTTATTGATCCAGAAGCTGGATCTATTATTTATCTGTCGTACTGCAGTACACCAGTACATTTAGCAAGCTGAAATAAAGTACTTTCAAGTGTATGGCCGTATCATGTACATTACCAATTCACGTGTAATATTAATGGGTATCTATTTCGGACTTCCGAGCCAAACTTGTCTATCCTGACGTAAAATCTAAGCAATCAACCCGAACAATTAAGTATAAAATGTAGAATTATAAAAACATGTAATATACAAAGGCCACAACATTAGATGACACATCATTATACGACACATCACCTTCATCGTCGCTGCCATCCTCGTACCCCCAGCTGCCTGACCAGGCGGCCTCGTGTCGACGACAGTTGTAGGACGAGCCTCCAAACAGACTCCGTTTGACATTTACTAGGATTGAACACATATTTGCTCAAGTAATGATGACGTCACAATTAATTCCTACACAATTACACTGTAAAATGTGACTCATGATTTTGAAACTATTTTCAGAATAATAAATATTCAATAAATGCTGTGGTTTCCATCATTTACGTAAAACGGCCAGTTATAGAAATTCGTGGATCACTAATGACTCCTGGATGACTAAAGCTCCGATTTGCCTATTATTCCCGGTCGGCAGATAAAAGCTAATCATTCCTCAACAGTTTAATACATGGGTAGAAAGCCTATGCAGACAACCTGCCTGCCCAATACAGGAGATGCCCCGTGTGTATTATTCATCGATATTCCATCTTGGTGATGTAAGTGGACGAGGTTGTACACTGCCTGTCCGTTGTCTATAGCGCACTGTATTACGCTGGACTAACAATGGGAATATCCTTACGCCACTGATAAATCATTTCATCAACGTCAAATTATAAGACAATCGGGTCTCTATATTTCTCCTGAATTGTCGTAAAATCCATTTCACACACTCGTTATAACATCCAACGACACAAAGCTGAGCACGGAAAAATAAAATTAATATCAATATATCCAAACAAACAGTAACACGTTTCAAGTCAATATAGAAATTCTGTGTTTATATATCCGGTTGTCACAGACGCCACAGTGAATTACACAGCAATGTGGACGAACAATACGGGATAACTAGGGACGGATGGACCGTTGTCCCAGCCTCTTTACCAAACATTCCAGGCTGTCGGCAGCAGGCCTATGTCATCTCTCCTTATCAGTTTACATCTGCCGGTACAAATGTATAGGTACTGTATCTCCTCTCCCTATCCCAGCAAAGTGGAGGAGCTCGTATCTCACCGACAAACGTCTTATAATGTATTTATCTCGGGAAGGTTTATACCACAGCTTTTCTCATGTATAAAAACTAACGGCTTCACGTGCTCAGCAAAAGAAGTGTTGCTATGGTAAGAAAGCTGGATTTACGAGAATATATATAATCACAGATGAAGTTAAACCTTTGCCTCCTTGGTTCTCACTTTGTTGCTATTTTGCAGTTATAATGAAAAACAGAAATGATACGTTAACTGACCGTTAACTGTTCACAATCGTATCTTAACGCATCAAAAAGCACGCGTTTGTTCGTGCCATATTCCCAGCTTTTATACAAAACGCTGCAATGAAGGTTAAATGCACCACTTTTATTTCGACCGAACAGTGTTGCGTATTCCCGAAAATACAATTACTGTATCCGCGATGTCTGCCAGCGATATATTCATGTCACGTCACACTGAGATATCAATACAACAGACGCTGATTACCAATACATTTACTTTAAAATCTCAAACTTTGTTAAATCAAGGAGCTCCAGAATTCTTGTCGCCAATGCTCCCGTCGGAATTCCGCCTTGACAACATATTGTTTGAAAACTGATGGATATGGAGGGGTACATGCACCGTCAGCAACCTCCCACAGAAAGAAAAAGCTATCTGCTCTGTAATTGTATTAAAGCAGAGTATTTTAAATCCTTTTCCACAAATATTATTCGCAGTACTAGATTAGTGCAAACCAGAAAATACGATCAAAACACAAAGAATCCCGTCAGGAACGAGTCGACAGCCACAGATATCTAGCTATGCTAATAAGTGATAGTAGAGAATGTTTGGAGAGGTCTGCAGTAGATGCTGATGAAGAGGAGGCAGGAGCATGGTTTTAAACAGACACTTAATATAAAACTGTTGTGGAATGGAGAACTCTTAATGAACTCAGCTCCAATGAAACATTCCGAGGGGAGAAACGTTTGGTATTCTCATCACACGACTGGCAGCCTGTGTTTTATAGTAGTTTATATTAAACATTTTACCGGCGTATCTGCATGCTGGCTACATGTAATGGACGTACCTATACTAGTGTTAACGAACCGTTCATACAGTTGTTAGCATTCCGAGATAATTGTCGCACGCGCTCAGTCCTACGTCGAATCGTCGAAATGTCACACAGCAAGTGTCACGGGTCACGGGATACCGGCTCCATTACCAATGAAAAGAAAATCGATGTCCACCACGAGATAGGAATCTGTGGTACGGGCAAAAAATCCAATTACGTAAGGTGCTATTTCACTACAAAGAGTACATATAACTCCATCACTGTCACAGTGTTCTCAGCCTTCCGAACAGAAAGGCATAATATAGTGTCAAGGTCATGAGAATCAAACTACCTTTTACAGTCATGTGAAGGTCAGGTAAAACTCGCTGTAAAGGCCGATACAATCATTATGTTGTGTAGAGACTGGCACAACAGAATACAGACAGAACATTAAAAAAGGCAAGGTATGATAAAAAGACCTGATGCTAACGATACAACCAGTCGGTAAGACAATGAATCCTCCAAGGTAATGGTTCGCGTCCTCAAGAGGATCGTATCATTGTACCGGTGTTGGAAGCTCGCCCACCATATCTATCAATGGAAGTTGTCAGCATGTAGACGTTGTCGGAAACACCACAGATTACACGTGCTTTAGATACACACGTGATTTTTAAACCGATTACATCGGCTGGATACAACGAACACAGTTGTCTGCACACATAACTCGAGTAAAAGTTCTAATAACTGAGACTGCGGGGACTATTTTAAAATCTCCCCAATTACGATGATTATCAGGGCAATTCTCTGGCTTTATTTCAGAGAGAAACGAAACTTTATCATTTCTCGATCAGTGGTACGATGATTTCGCTCTCAACGAAAATCAAAGACCGACATTAATTAAAGTGCAGTGTTATGTCAGTAACAAATCCAGCGGCTTTATTTTTTCAATCTTTCCCTTTCATCACAAACTGCCATTTCATCCATTTGACGATCAGGTACACGCATGTACATGTTTTGTTATCGGTTCGATTTTAATTGAAAAGTCAATGAAATGGTGGACATTAACATCTGACGGCGGCACTGTAATTCATTATACATGTTAACATACCATCGGGACTCAAGGGGATCACGTGCGGTGACATTTAGCGTGCTTAACTCCCGAAGTGTTTATAAATAAAAACAGCACGTGCGAGTTATTTTGGAAGCGCGCGGTATGTAATGACCGTAGTATGTTCTGCTGTTTGGAGTATATTGTAAACTAGACATGTATTCATCAATGGCGAGAATGGTTTGACATCACCACAAAAATGATTTCAAGCAATATCTTGATGATTAAAGAATTAACATTTCCTCCTCATTCACCCTCTTACATATTTGCTAGTAGATTAGCTGATAAGACTCCAGCTCCAACACGTCCATTAGTAGAAGTTTTGTTCCGTTTTTCCCGATTCTCGACTTCCCGGTTTGGCGTTAAACGAAAGTAGCCCCAGTTTTAATTCAGGTCAGTTGCCGAGTGAGTCACAAGTATAGGATCACCTTCATACGATTGTGTGCAGTAAAAAAACTCTCATGGGAGGAGGAATCAAACTTCCGGTTCCTTCGGATCGATTCAATAATACTGAAAAATCGCCATCATAAAGAACACAGTCTTGTGGTATAAGACTGTTGTGACGTTTAGCGGTCTCTGACGTCCAATTTATGACACAAAATGATATCAATACAAGTAACAAATGGAATGGCATCGTCACATTTTTTTGAGGTACAGAGCCGTGTCTAAAATTTGTGGCTGGAGACAGATGGCCACCAATATTGCTCTCATGAAATATGCATTCTGGTTCCTTGGGCTGTGATCGGGAACCTATTGCACGCGCATTACAGGCGTTCTACTCAACAGGGCGCACGTGCTAGCAACACTGATTTCATTATAACGCGAATTGCTGCCAAGTTTTTGTCAATCATGGTCACACTAAAATTTGTTGCAGATAATGTAAAAACGGCATAGTGCAAACATTCCTTAGCTGTTGATTCAGTGCTAGCGGTTAAATGATCCACTAGCTGCAGGCAAACAGATCACTTTTGTTGCCACCTTATATCACCGTGGGATCCTGATACTCCAGTTAAAATGAAACACGACATAAAAAATATTGTCAATTCTAAAACCCACGTAATATTTATCAAACGAAGCAATTCAGTGAAGCTCGCTTGTTTGTAATTACGTCTCAAAATCTCCCACGGAATTACGTCACGATATTTATGGATTTATACCTAGGTAATGATAAGTCAGTGCTTTCTTGATTTTCAATAATAGAAAGAAAAATCCCTAATCGTATAACAATACGTTTAAGCTGCATGTTTACATTTCCGCTGACCTACTAAAATTAAGCGAGGCACATTGCCATCTACGCACGACTTCTTTCGAATACATTGGTATTATCAATATTTGTGTTTAATCCACACGAACAGAAGAGTAATAAAACGTCTCTATCACTGACACAAATAAGATTTAATAACCAGACTGGTTTATATGTGTTTCACCTGAAAGTCAGTGTGGAGGTGGTAATGAAGATGCGTAGCTTTATTTTTCATCTGTTCTAACTTTTCTAATCCTCGAATATGATTGTTTGATGCTCTGTCAAATATTAGTTTCTATACAGTCCCCCAACTGGATACTGTTATATGGGGAGATGTTGGTCTTCCTTTTGAAACAAATAGTAACATAGTGCATGCTGTACAGTCATTTATAAAATCAAGTTCGAGGTTTGATACTAACTAGTAGACAGCTACTGCACACAGAACACCCACCCACCCATCTCCCTGTCCTATACTTTTACCTCCCTCCCCACTCTTTCTCTCTCTTCTTACATTCTCATGTTATTCAGCAGATTGTATATATGTAGAACCTTTTAGACGTCATGTTATAGTCATTTTCTTAAGCTGTCAGGAGAGGGCCTAGGAAGTTGTCAGAACTTTTGTCCACTCCCTTTGATTGTTTGTATTTTTTTAATCAATAACTTATATTTTAACCAACATCGTTCGAAAATAGGCTTCATATTTAAAGTTCAATAACTAGAAGACGTTATTGGTCTGGTGCTGGTCAAATTGGCGTTAGGGACACTGGACAATGATAGTGTATGTATAAAAATATTTGAAAGTCCCGTGTAATCCATCAGCGATATCATGGACTTGTATCCAAGTATGTGGTGATATTATTGCTCATCACAGAACGAGAACACAATGCATGTTTATTTCATTCATGTACATCTCCGTGTATAGTCGGTGAAAATATCATCGGGCAACTGTTGTGTAAATTAACTTTTTGTTTATTTTGTTGGATTGTTGCTAGGTTTAACGCGCCGTGAACAGCCTGTTTATTCGGATTAAGTGCCTTCTTAAGCAGTTGGTAACTACGTAAATGGACAACATGCGGGAGGCCCGCCACATGCTATTCGTTGTATTTGATACAGAAAACAACACACGGAAATAAGAATCCCGTGCTAGTGTTAAATCATTTAAATGAAACTCCGACCCAAGGATATATTTTTACAGTATACAAACTACTTCTATACTCTGTATGGACACTGGCAGCTGTTGTAAAATCTGAAATAAAAATCCCAAACAGACAAAAGTCACTTAATGGAGGATCTGTAGTATCGAAGGAATGTCATTTATAGGGCATATAATTCACATGTAGTCAATAACGATCGGTAAAATCTAACTGGAATATGAGCTGATATTTGAGCAGACAAAAACATAACTTGATGAAAACCGTCCACAAATTACAACGTGTGTGTAGTGGCTCGCGTCTTGTATCATGTGTGTTTAGTTTGCTATAGATGTGATGGAGGATTATGATATATTGGTCAGTGACCCCTCCCCTCCCATCGGTCTCCCGTATCCCTCCACTACCAAAGACATGGGGATACAAGCACACATTAAACACTACTGTCGGCAATCGATTTCGGTCTGATATGGACGTGTATTTGCATTATCTTACAGAGGTCAAGAGAAGTTCAATAATGAGATTGATGATACAATAATGATTGAGAAATGAAGTTTAATTACTAGAAGATTGGAATGAAACCATCCATACTTAAAAGCGTTGTTCGTATTCAACGCCAGAGGAGCCGTTCGCATCACATTAAAATCACATGACAAACGAATGCAGTAGTCATCGCATTACAGTAGTGATACCAACAAATTAACGGGCACACAAAAAAGAGGATTTAAAATTGTACAGGATGTAGCTATTATCCCATTTCCTGTGACAAAAAAACTATTGTTACTTCCCATTAAAAGTGTAAGAAGAATGTTTCAGTAATTTGATACAAATATTTGTAAACAAAAACTGAATATTAAGACGGGTTTATGAGAGTGGGGTGAAGGAGTGCAAAAACTACCGTTCTAGAACCCGTAGTTTTTGTAACTTATTACCTCTGTTTCTACAGACACGGAAATTCAACACCAGGAAGTTTTAACTTACAATTTCGAAAGTAACGAGACATTAAAGAAAATCCACTAGTTAGGTCATCTGTAAGTCAAACATTTCATCTTACCTGGTGAGGAATACAAAAGTTGGAAAATCCAACCCCTATGTAATGGAGGAGTTTGTGGTCTCTGACAACGATATTCTGGTGTCAATGTGAAGTTAACTTTAGACGTAATCTGCTTACTCACAGCATGTTCTTCATTCCTACGTAAGCATATACTGTATACATACAACTCTAAACCAGCATTTCCATATTTCTGGATTGAATGATAAATTCCGGAAATTGACAATAGGAAATGGATGCATGTCGTCCAGGGATGATTAATGATATGTATCAATATAGATCTCTAATAGCTAAAGAAGATTAAAAACTGACGTCATTGTTTCGTCCTGGTTCTACATCAGAGACCTAGATTTTCTTAATATAACAAGGAATGACCTACAGCTTGTGAAGTAACCTATCTTTTGATGATTAAACAAATGATATAATGGGACCACCAGGTTTTGACAGAAGTGATAAACGTGACCTCAGTTCAGGTCCCGCATCACTTTGTGGCGGTACACGTGCCAGGTCACGTGGTGCTAAATACAGCTCGTTTCAAAGCCTGATTGCAGCTAAAACAATGACCGATATTTATTGAGTAAGAGAACGGAGTGAAGCAGCATACATATCAATAAAAAAGATAATCTTTACAACAGCAGATCACACCATTTTATATCCACAACATAGGAGTTAAATCAACAGTAGATCACACCATTTTATATCTACAACATAGGAGTTAGATCAACAGTATATCACACCATTTTATATCTACAACATAGGAGATAACTCAACAGTAGATCACACCATTTTATATCTACAACATAGGAGTTAGATCAAAAATAGATCACACCATTTTATATCTACAACCTATGAGTGAAATCAACAGTAGATCACACCATTTTATATCCACAACATAGGAGTTAAATCAACAGTAGATCACACCATTTTATATCTACAACATAGGAGTGAAATCAACAGTAGA